AATTACTGTCTTCAACTATAAACATATATTAATTATTTAGTATATTTCAGGTAACTGGTTACTAAAAGATAAAAGGCAGTATTTGCTCTACAAAAATAAAGAAATAAACCAAAAAAATCTTTCCTATCTAGTTTTGAAGATGACACACACAGTAAAACAGAGGGAATACAAGGGAATATGTGGTACGATCAAAGAGGTGCAGTTCTGGGCTTCCCTGGTGGCGCAGTGGTTGAGAGTCCACCTGCCGATGCAGGGACACGGGGCCCCGGTCTGGGAAGATCCCACATGCTGCGGAGCGGCTGGGCCCGTGAGCCATGGCTGCTGAGCCTGTGCGTCCAGAGCCTGTGCTCCTGTGCAACGGGAGAGGCCACACAGTGAGAGGCCCACGTACCACAAAAAAAAAAAAAAAAAAAAAGAGGCGCAGTTCTGTTGGGGCAGAGCTTATAGGTGGGGGAGCTCTGATGAGCAGGGGAGAAACAAAGTGAGCCTTTCTGGAAGGAAGGATGAGGGTTGGGTAAGTGATGAGACACGAAGGGACTCCAGGAAGGTCCTTGAATGAACAAGTTACAGACACAGAACATGGGCCATGTGTAGAAGGCAGTGTAGAGACCAACTAGGCTATAGTGAAGGATGCAAGTAGGGGAGAGAGAGATTGGGGAAATTAGGGAACAGTCCCGTCATGGAGGGAATTCCACACTTAACTAAAAACTCCGATTTTGTCCTACAGTACAGTAGTTACCATCTCATTCTCTGGAGTCAGACAAAGGTTTGAATCCCAGCCCCACCATTTAAGTTGCCACATGACCTTAGGCACATTAATTACGTTTTTTCCTTTACTTTTTCTCTTCCTTCTTTCTTTCCTTCCTTCTCTCCTTCCTTCCTTCTCTCCTCCCTTCCTTCTTTTCTTTTCAAGTTTGACTTCACTTTTTTTAACTTTTCATTATGATAAATTTCAAAGATACGTACAAGTGAACTGTGCAATACATCCCATGTACCCATTGTTCCCCTTCAATAACCTTCGACATCTGACCTCCCTTCTTTCATCTACACCCTTCCCACTCCCTCCCCACTATCCTCCTTACCTATAGCACTAGGCCTGATGTGATTAAGCATCTGGGGAAACTCTATGTGTGGCGCCTGTTTAAGGAGTCCCTGCAGGTGGGAAGAGTTAGGAAATGATACCCAACGAGGACCCATGTGAAAGCAGCATTGCCCTTAGGTTGGAGATACTGGGGTCCCAAGCTGTGTCTCATGCTTCAAAGGGCCTGCTCCCACCTGCCTCTGGTGTCTCCCCTTCCCACACAAAAAGGGGTCCCAAGGACATGTGCAAATCCAAAGTCTGTGACTCCTTCAACAGGCCTGGTTCCTGGATCCCCGGAAATCCCTGCCTAAATGGCTTGAGGTGACTACCAGGACATGCTCTACCCTCTACGTGCACCACTAGGCACTGGCAAGGTGGCTGGTTGAGAGGTGGATGTGGGCAGAGCTTGGACCTGTGGGCTGAGTCCACGCACACATGTGGAGGCCCCTCAGCACGCTGACTGCGAGAGGAAAGGCAGAAAGGCCTTGTTTCTGCAGACCAAGAGCTCTCGTCCGGAGATCCATTCTTGCCCCCATGCCCCACAAACAATAAAGGCAGCGCTTTAAAAGTGAGGAACGTCTATAATTTTCCTCAACGTTCTTGAATTTAAATTTATGCTACTGATGCCCTTTGTCAGGTCAGCCCCTAGGACTGCCAAAGACCCAGACGAGCAGCGTCTGAGTACCTGGAAGAATGGAATAAATGGTCACATGTGAAACAAGAAAGTTGGCCAATACAGTTGTCATCAGAAGAACAGAGTTGCATTAAACCAGGGGGCCAGGGCAGACCAACATTTCCTTGGTAAGCAGATCTTTTCAAGGGCTTTCTCTATTAGAGAGTCAAAACCCTATAGTATTTAAAAAACAAAACAAAACAAACAAACCTGTGGATGCTTCTGTACCTCTGTACAAAACAGAATTATTGTTTAAGCACATATTTCATTTTGGAAGAAGGAAAGTGCTACAAGTAATACCTATTACTTCCTAGAATTTAGCCATTAAAGTACAAGGGTGGTGCAGGGGGAGAGTGTGCTATATGTCTTAACAGGCATATACCTAAAGAAAAAAAGTAGAAAAGGCAAAGTAGGGCAGCCCAAAACAGCAATTAGGATTTTTCTTGAGTGGATAATGTGTAGTTTCATTTAAATAGGAACACAATCTTCATTAACTTAATCTGTAAAAGCAGTAACTCCAACTCCCAGCTATTGCCCGAGTAAGGCAGTTTTATTGTTTTCTTTTTTTTTTTGCGGTACGTGGGCCTCTCACCGTTGTGGCCTCTCCCGTTGCGGAGCACAGGCTTCGGACGCGCAGGCTCAGTGGCCATGGCTCACGGGCTCACGGGCTCAGCCGCTCCGCGGCATGTGGGATCCTCCCAGACCGGGGTACAAACCCGTGTCCCCTGCATCGGCAGGCGGACTCTCAGCCACTGCGCCACCAGGGAAGCCCGCGAGTAAGGCATTTTTAGAAACATCATTGCTACTTCGAAATTTAAAGTGAATCAGTCCTGTGGAGTTAATTACCGGTAAATACAACCTGAAGTAGGTCTCCCACTTGGCACTGAACCAGCATAAGGTGTTCTCAGTGTTAGCCAGAAACACTGCAAGGTATCAGATGCTTGAAAAGCTAAGTCTATAAGCTTGGCAACAGTTTTTAGGAATAGCGGGAAAAATCGTCAGTAGCATCCACAGTGAGAAACATGGATAAAGGCCTAATTAAAAGAAGACCTTTTTGATAGAGATTTTGATAGAGATTTAGACAAGCGTCCCCTAGCCCCCCCAAAATAAATTCAGCTCTCTGTTGTTGCAGCCTATTCCCCAAATCAGTTATACTTACAAAAAGGAAATTACACCTATTTCTTTTCAATGCTGGCATGTGGATCCTATTTAGTTATAAAAGGTAGAAATAATTTTAGAAACTAAAAGTAAAATTAAATAAAGCCAGAACAAAGAAATTACTTTCATCACCAATGCTTCGGGATACAGTGTCATCTGCTTCAGCGTTCTCGAGGAGGTATGCAAGAAGATCAGAGACCGAAGAAAAAAACTCGGAGGAATAGTTGTCTGAACTTTAATTAAATATTTGAATCAAGAAAAATGGGAACAGATGAAACCTTAGTAAGAGAGAAATGGTGCATGCACAAAGGGGATAGATTAATAAAATGACTGCTGATCTATTATTGGTAATAAACACATTTGTTTTGTTTTGTTTTTCTACAAACATGTCAAAGTTTCCTGCAACTCCCATAATTATTCAAACACACAAGTGTTCCCACTATCCTGGCTTACAAATGTCCAGGAGGCCAACAAAGCAAGCTGTTTTGGTTCCTGAATTACACAGTTAATTGAGGCTGTTCAGCCCCAGATCTGATGTAGTGAACAGTCAGAATTGCTGATAGCTGAGTATCTTATTACTTTACTCTCATTTTTATTTGCTAAAGTGATTTCACACAATTTTGCATTTCAAATATTTCTAAATAAATTTAGTAAACCAGAGATGAAAATGGCAAGCCTCAAATCATATGTTTTAGAACAGATTCCCATTTGAACTGTTCATTTTATATAACCGAGTTTATTACACCTTCTTTAACAGATATGATATTAATGGTAAGTGTCGTGGTAATACATAAAAAAACACTGTTACTTTCTAATGTGTGACTTGTCTAAACCCTAAAAAGAGCACAGTTGGCTTTGCAGAGCCAAATCATATTATTGATCCATCTTGACTGTGGTTCATTTGCAAGATAAAGTCCCACCTGGGAGTCTTCTCATAAATTGGGTCAAGACAAGAAGAACTCTAGGTAGCCAGAGGTGTCTCTGTGTCTCTTTTCAAATAATTGATGGCCACTTCTTCTGGTGTGTGGAAGAAGTAAAATGTCCTTGTCAAATGGGTATTGCTTTAGTACCACATGCCCAATAAGTTCTAGCATCTAGGAGAGCATGCAATAGAGGTTAATATTAGCTATGCAGTCATGGTATTATTAGTGTTTAATTATTTCATGTGCATTGAGATATTTTAAATGTTAAAGAGAAAACAGAAGGACTTATTCTCCTTAGCAACCATTAGAGTACAGAATGTTCACAGCTGCAATCACACTCATAAGGCAGGTAAATTGATGACAAAATGAGGGTAGCAACTAATGTGCATGCTATAGAAAACCTGAAAGTGGTACCTAAAATAGATAGCCCCCTTATGTTTTCCAAAATTCCATAGCTGGCTCAGACCATCAGTCAGCACAATGGAAATCTGTCACTTTAACACTCAATGCCGATTTTCAGTCTTAGAAGTGCAAAGGGCGTGGGGGGGGGTGTAAAATAATAAATCTGGGGGTTTTTCCCCTCACTGGCTAAGATGCTATCTCATTCGCGAATGATTTTACTTTATAAAAACCCTTTTAAAAATAAAGGGCTTAAGGTCTTAATGGCAACTCATACTGGTGTGCACATCTGTGGCTTCATTCTTCAGGTTAATATACAAAGGCTAAGTTATAGCAGAAGCATTATCGAAGGTAGGTTACTTTCTAAAATGCTTCATAAATATTATTTCCTTCAATATTATTTCCTTTGGCTCATGCACACTCAACGCGCTTCATATATATTATAAGATGATGAAGGTGGGAATGGTAATTATGTTATCAAAGCTGTTTTTCCAAAACTGTGTTGAAAAATTAACCGGTTCTTTCAAAATGTCAGTGTGCAAGTTCCTGAAGTTTCCCGGTGTTCTGACTTGAGGATTTCTCCAAAACACGCAAAGGGTAAAAATCAGGTGGCCGTCGAAAATGACTTCGCGGACCCCATGTATACGGAAACCTCGGTTCAGGTATCCCACTGGGGTCGAAGGCGAAATCTTCGCACCGATATATTATTGAGCTTCACCCGCAGGAGTCTTCGTTCAGGCAGGGGATGCTTTCCAAGATCAGGAGGCGGTGGTGCCCAAGGGCAATGGAAGCTGGGAATCTCCGCTTCCCGCCCGCCCTGCCCGGGTCACCAGTGCTGGCCTGCGGCGCGAGTGCCCAGCTGCGCCTGGGACACCGCAGGCATAGCCGTGGCGGCGGCGGCGGCAGCAGCCGCCGCGTCGCCGATGCCGGGCAGGACGGAGCGCACGGAGCGGCGGAACTCCTCGTTCCTCCACGTGTAGAGCAGCGGGTTGAGCGCGGACAGAGCGCAGCACAGGAGCCAGCTGGCCGCCTGCACACCCCAGGGCACGGGCAGCGAGAAGCCGCTGGCCAGGCTCACCCACACCAGCGGCTGCGTGGCCAGCAAGAAGACGCAGCAGAGCAGCAGCACCGACAGGCCGCTGAGACGCCGCTGCGCCCGCCGCGGGTGCAGCGCTGGGGGCAGCGGCTGGGCCTGAGCCGGGTGCGCGGCACCACCCGGGCCTGGCGCGTGAGGGGCTCCCGGGAAGGCGGCGGCGGCGGCGCAGCCGGGCAGCTGGTGCAGTAGGTGGAAGTTGAGGACGCTGACCCGCTTAACGCTGACGCGCACGCGGCGCACGATGCCCAGGTAGCAGTGCAGCAGCAGCGCCGTCTGCGCCAGCAGCGCCGCGGCGGCCAGCAGCGCCGGGTAGTGGACGCGCGGGGGCGCGGCGCCGGGACGCGGCGCCCAGGGCGGGAGCAGCAGCACGAGGCCCAGGGCTAGTGCCCAGGACAGCGCCAGCATGCCCGCCGTGTGGCGCCGCTGGTACAGCGCCTGGTAGGTGGCGGGCGCCCGGGTGATGAGTAGGTAGCGGTTCAGGGCCACCAGGCAGTGGGACAAGAGGGACACGGTGAGCCCGAGGCCCAGCAGCCCGCCCCGCAGCAGGCGGTAGCTCCCCCCGGCGCCGTCCCAGTCCCCAGGGGGCTCCGCAGAGCCCGCGGGCAGGAGCCCGAGCACCGCCTCCTGCGGCATCCAGAGGGCGCAGACGCTGAGGTCGGCGGCACAGCCGTTCACGATGAAGGCGTTGCTCGTAGTCTGCAGCTTTCGGAAGGACGACACGAGATAGATGACCATGCCGTTGGCCAGCGTGCCCCCGATGGCCAGGCCTGAGTACAGGAGGGACACGGGGATGCGCCGGCCCGCCCACGACTCCTCTTCCTCGCAGAGCAGCAACAGCGATCCCCCGGTGGCGGAGGAAGTGGACGTGGAAGAGTTGGTCATTCTGGCCAACTCTTCACACCTCTCTGGCTAGCGTCGGCTTCTCGCAGCGCGGCGCATCCTGACACCCGCCTGCAGAGAGGGCAGAGACATCCCTTCAGCCCTCTGCCACCGACACAAAAGGCTGAAGCAGAATAATGGGCTGGGGGAGGGGGAGAGAGGGAGCTCTAGGAGAACGGGGGTGGCAAACGACAGGTGCCTGCCTGGGAAGTGTCTCTAGTGCCAGGCGAAGGGCCTCTTTACATTCAGCAAGCACCAGGGAAGCCCTAGGACAGAGCAATACAGAGAACAGTTTCCTCTTCTCCCCCTAAACACACACATAGACACACACACGGGAATAGCAGATGGAGCCCCCAGTTTCCAGGAGAAAGCAGAGATATCCCACCTGAGGAAAATACCAGGGGAAAGGGGTTGGGGGTATCTTACTTTCGGGCTGGTCCTTAGCTGGCAGTAGCAGAGGGAGGGATGCCAGGAAATACCTCCTCAGCAGCAGCATCTGTGGTCCCGAAATCAATAGGAGAAACTCATCTGGGATCAGTGCCAGGAGCCAAGTGCCTCCTTCTCCAATGCAGCATCCACGCACATGGCCCTAGGCAGAAACCAGCAGCTGCAGGGAGACTTCTCAGCTGGCAGCAGGGCTGGAGAAAGTGAAGTGGCAGGCTGCAAGCCCAGGCAGGTGGGCAGGTAGTCAGGCGGCAGCAGCAAGGATGCTTGGCTGCAAAAGCAGAAGCTCAGCTCAAGAGGAGAGCAAGCACTCCGTGCTCAGAAGCAAGAGTGGTGGCTGATGAGGGGAACCCACTCGAAGCGCTCTCCTGCTCAGTTATACATCACGCAGGGAAAAGGCAGCCTTTCCACACTTGCATGAATTATTCAATAGCTTCTAACTTGTGAAAGGGAAGAAAAATATCTTGCTCAGAAAGTGCTGTCATTAAACAAGTTTCTCTGTTTTTTCTCAGTCTCTCAATCACCCTATTTTTCACTTTGCTTCGTTTTTCTTTTCTTCTTTTTTTTTTCCTTCCATCAATGCTAGAATTAAATTTAATATATCCCCAATGTATTTCATCCCAGTCTGATGCATCCTGGGGGTGAGTTTTTCTGAGAGATACATATACTCCTAATACCTACGACTGATCTCTTCCATCCCACATTTTCAGGGAGAACTTACATTCTAATTGAAATTCACTTTTTCTTTGGTAAGGTGGGACATGGGTCATTATCCACACAAAATCTCCAAGTCTTAATTTCAATCATAATTTCAGTTTTTTCTCATCACCAAACTCCTTTCTAGAGGGTGGCTTCTGTTTCAGTAATGAAATAGAGGGTAAAAATGAAATGGTCAGAAGTTTAAATGCAAGTGGGTATCTGGGGGAAAGCAAGGGCCCTGAATGATATACAGTTTAAGGGGCAAAGTTGTCTCTTTACTGCAGAACTTTTAATCTTGTGGTCTGTCTTAGATAGAGATTTGCAGTCTGAAGTTGGAATCTTCCACATGGGAAATTTTTCATAAAAGTCATCACCTCCCACAAATCATTTTTCACTGGGAAAATCATTTATTTGAAAGTGTAACTCAATATAGAATATGGTAATATGGCATAATAGAAGAAAATGCTGGGTGGGGTTTCAGGACACCTGGGTTCTAAGCTGGATGTCCACCGAATAAATGGCCTTGGGATGGATCAGTTCACTCTTGTCAAATAAGAAGTTTCACTCAGTGACTTCCAAGGCCCTTTCTGTTCGAACTTTCTATGAATCCTCATGCATAAATGTGACATTTCTCCACCCTAGTCTGACATCTGAAATATACCTACTCCGTCTAACATGTAATGTAGTCAGTCTCAGGTCACACGGCAGCAGTTTTTTTCCAGTCTGTCCCTAAGGGTGCCTATTCAGGATGAAGCACAAAGTGCACCTCCTCTGCTCTCTGCTTCCCTCTCTCTCTTTCAGAAACAGGGTTAGTTAATGACAACTCTGAGGAGGTAGGACTAAAGCAGGACTTGATGGATTTGGTCCATTTAAGTGGTATCTGATAGTTGAGTCGGGGGATTTTTTGCCAGTGTCTTTTATCTGTTGTTATTTGTCTTAAGGCTTTGAGTACATCAAGCACAGCAAGTCTGCAAGAGATCCCTCTAATCATTTATAGTTAAAACTTGTTGAAATAAAAATTTCCTCTCACGTCGTGGGGGAGGATTCAAGTTTCAGGTCCTTGGTCCCAGCTGCTGCCTTGCGTGGCATGAGCGAAGCCCCTGCTGGGGAACTCCGATGCCTTGCAGTCAGGCACTTCTGCCAAGACTGGAAAGGGACAAACTTTAGCCCTGGCCTGGAAAGGAACAAACTTTAGCCCTGGCCTGGAAAGGGACAAACTTTTGTTTGTTTGGGTGTTTGTTTTTGTTTTAAGCTACTGCATTTACATAATATAGGGTGGGAATTTTTTCTATCTTATTCCCAGCATCAAAACAGTACTCAATTATAATTAATATACTTGTTAGTGAATCAGCGAATGGATGTGTGTATAAATGGTTTCATTTCCTTCCATGGTGAGTCAGTAAATAGTTTTCATTAGCATCTCTTTCCTCCTACCCCCGCAGGAACTTGCTCTGTGAACTATGCCCTCTGATGCTGAGCCAATCTCTCTACTCTCCACTGCTTGCTTTCCATTGGCCTTACAAAAATGCTGATTTCACTGCAATCCGATAAAGTTTCCCTGCACTTCACCTCCTCCTCAAGGTGCCTACACAGCTCACTCCCTTTCCTGGCAAAAGTGCTCGCTTTCTGTTTCTACTTCCTTTGCTCGCATTGAATGCCCACCCCACACTGCTTTTGGCTCTCACCACTGAGACACTTTCCAACTGATCAAAGGTCTGCCCATATATAAAACTGCCTACTGGACATCTCCACATGGCTATCCTATGGGTATCTCAAACCCCAGATGTCCAAAACTGATCCCTTCCTCTTCTTTCCAAATCAGTTCCTCCTTCTCCTGTGTTCTCAGTGACCAGTATCGCCAGTATCCTGGTGCCTAAGTCAGAATCCTAGCTATTACCCTTGATTCCTTGTTTTCTCTCTTACTCCTGATATCCATCAATCACCAAGTGTCATCATTCTACCATATTAATTTTTTTTTTATCTTTTCACTGATCTCTATTCACTTTGCCACTACCTGGCATCAGACAAACATCATCTCTTCTTTAAATTATCCCAACAAGGGCTTCCCTGGTGGCACAGTGGTTGAGAGTCCGCCTGCCGATGCAGGGGACATGGGTTCGTGCCCCGGTCCAGGAGGATCCCACATGCCGCAGAGCGGCTGGGTCCATGAGCCATGGCCGCTGAGCCTGCGTGTCCGGAGCCTGTGCTCCGCAATGGGAGAGGCCACAGCAGTGAGAGGCCCGCGTACCAAAAAAAAAAAAAAAAAAATTATTCCAACAAGCTCTAACTCTATGTGCAATCTTACCTTCCTCCAGACAATATGATCTTTCTAAAACCAAAAGACATCACTTGACATATTAAATATATTTATTTTTATCTGTTTCCTACCCTCTACTCTAATATACATTCCTTGGAAAAAGGAGGTTTACTTTGTTCACTACTATTATTGGCAGCTCCCAGAACAGTACCAGGCACATAGTAGACCCTTAATCAATATTTGTAGGAAAACTAGCAAGAAAATGTCACATTCTGCTTAAAACCTTTCACTGGGTCACCTGTTGCCCTCAGGAGACTCAAAAATATCATCATTGCTAATGATGTACACATACCATATGTACCAAGCATTGTTTTGAGTATTTTTCGTCTCTTGTTTTATTTAGTCCTCGTGCCAGACCTACAAGGTAGCCAGGCTAGGGCCTAAATTTGCAGGCCAGGGCAGGAGTCCAGATAAAAGTCCATAGGTCACATGTCTAAATATTTTAAAGTCATAAATCAAGCTATCAAACTGTTAAATAAAACATGTTCTATTCCCCTATCTTGACAAATATACTAGAAAGCCAGGCTCAAATTTAGAATTCTCAGATTTATAAATTGTTTCATGCCACTGGAATGTGACAATTCAGAGAGTTTGCCTCTGGCCCACAGTTCACCCCAGTTTTTCCCCACTCTCTGTTCGACCATCACATGCCAGAGGGGCCTTATTTTAACATAGGACACGCCAGCCTGCCCATTCAAGTTTCATTCACATCCTTGTCACACAGCCACTCCTTGGCAACACCTCAGACCTAGGGTGGTACCTGGAGAGCATAGTCGGTCATCAGAAGGGCAAAGCCAGAGAGGAGGTCCACACAGGTCATGGAAGTGCGCTCATGGCCACCAGGCACAGAATTCTGGGTTCCTGGTAATGAACATGGTCTAGAAAGGGATGTAAGGTGTAGGGAAACTTGTCCCCTTAAATCCATTTAATAGATAAGAAAACAGAGTCACAAAGGGGTTAAATAACTTGCCCAAGTTCAGCTAGGAAGTGACGTAACTAAGATTCAAACCCACTAGCCCATACTCAACCACTACACTATACCACCTCCTTTGGTGAAGTTTAATGTTCTTAACACGGATTAGCTGAGGTAGATTAAGCTAATGTAACAAGGAGACCCAAAACTATAGAGGTTTAAAAAAATAATGAGCAGTCCAGATGGAAGACAGATCAACTGCCCAGGACCATTGAGAAACCCAGGTATCTTCTCAGTGCTCTACCACCCCTTAGGGTGATGATAGTATTCAAGGTGTGCTCCCTGGCCGGCAGCATTAGCATCACTTGGAAACTTGTGAATCACCAGGAATCATAATTCCTGGTGATGGGGCCCAGGGATCTGTGTTTTAACGAGCCCTCCAGGTAACTCTGATGCATGCTACAGTACAAGAGCCAGTGCCCTGGGATGTTATCCTTGTCTACATGGCTGACATTGTTTCCCTGCTACCGTGTCCACATTCCAGCTGGCAGGGATTGGATAAAAAGAAAGCGGGGTAGCCAGCTTTCTATATAAGGATGTGAACTGAAAATTCCACTTATCACTTTTGCACACACCCCAGTGGCCAAAACCCCAGCAGTCACATGGCTGCTCCTTGCTGCAAGAGAAGCTGGGACCACTCTAGCTCACGTGCCCTACTAAAACTCGGGAGGGGCAGGAGAACGGAGAGAATGGACGCTGGGCAGTGGAGGGGGGCAGTTCTCAGGTTTACGCAGGTTTAAACCTGCAAGTTTAAAGCAAGACATTATGATTAGGGCCCTATAAACACAGTGCCTAGAGCATACCAGCTTTTTAGTTTTTTCATTTTTATTTTATTTTATTGTTTATTGAAGTACAGTTGATTTACAATGTTGTATTAATTTCTCCTGTACAGAAAATTTTATTTGGCTATACATACATTCTTTTTTATGTTCTTTTCCATTATGGTTTATCTCAGGATATTGAATACTGCTGCCTGTGCTATACAGTAGGACCTTGTTGTTTATCCATTCTATATGTAGTAATTTGCACCTGCTGACCCCAACCTCCCATTCCCTCCCTCTCCCCCCGGCCCACAACCACAGGTCTGTTCTCTATGTCTGTGAGTCTGTT